TGCAAATGTTTTGGTGCCATTCAAAATTCTGCTTTGTCCTCGAATAAATATTTAATGATTCAACTGGCACAGGAGTGCGGAGGCTTTGGATATCCAGTAGTCGCTGGGTCGCTTGGAGGGAAGCATTACTGTCACCACAAAATTAGTTGAGTGACCTGAAGGGAGAGAGACATGAAGGGTGAGGAAACAATCTGAGCAAACATCCTTTTTCTTTCTTTTTTTGATATTGTATGTTGGTAACAGGGACGTGCGCTGTATCCCACCAAAACTCCCAGCGATGCCCAAAAACTAGCTCTTGGCCTTATGATAGTATAAAATGTGTCATGACTTTAAATGTAAAAAGGTTTCCAGTGAGTGACTTTGGATACATCAGGTGTGTACCTGTGGTGGACAGAGTGCCAGCTCTGGCTGAGGTCTTGTACAGAGGAGCGTGGTAGAGGTCAGGCTCTGGGACGTAGTTCTGCTGCGGCTCAAAGTGCACCACCGGCAGCATGGCGTTCATAACCCGAGGCAGAGCATCATCAATCACCATGCCGACATCATCCCAGCGACAGGCATCCATGAACATGCCGTGAACAAGTACACCGTCCTGCGGCTCTGGTAACTGTTTTAACAAGTAACCATATTAAAGGAATTACCTTTTTATTTTACTTTTCCTTTTTACTGACAAACTCTTGAAACAAAGTAAACACAAGACTTTCTTTTTGCAGTTTGTGCCTTTTCAGAAAAAAATGGTGGTTTCTATATTTTTTCACAAACATCAGGCAAACAGCTGCAAAGCCAGAAAATAAAACAAAGAACATGTGGCTTTGCTTTTATCAGATGTATTGAGAGCTTTTTATTCTTTAAGGATTTCATTTTCATGAACAGATTTAAAGAAGAGTTGACACGATGTTTGCTGCGGTTGATATTCACTATTTATGACGTTTAAGAGGGCATCAATCTGATATGTCATCAGGAACTCAGTATTTTAAAAAGGAAAACAATACTGGTGGCTGTACTGCCCTCCAGATTCACCCCGGAGTCAATTATAACACAACCTTACTAAAGAAATTAGTATGTAGTCCAATCAAAAATTATGGATAACAGATTTAATTTGATCATTTAGGATACATTTGCTCTGTGGTGCTAACTTTGAGATCACCAGATCAGATTTAAAGATTCAGGATAAAGTAATTTCACAAAAACATTAATCAATTAATACAAGAATTAAATACACATATCGAATAGGTCATGATCTCAGGTTCCTACAACTTTCTAATTCACATTTTACATTGACCATTTCAAATGCTTGCCTAAAAACCAAACAAGCTAGTGGTCATATTAATGATTAAAGGATTTATCTTCAGCCTGCTAGGTTTGTTTTGCTTCCAAGGACTCTAACTGAAATCATGCAAACACAAACACAATTTAAAAACACAATTGATAACATAACTGATTTTGTGTAACAATGTAAGAAGAACTTTGAATAAAATATTGCACATAAAAACATTAACTGCAGTTAATTAAGTTAAGTTGAACAAATATAAGGAGCGACAAACTTTAACTGTAGAGAAACCAAACTGATGTAATATTTTAGATTACATCTTGAGATTGTTGATCTGGTCTTCCACATTAGCTCTCCTGCTATTTGCCAGAAAAATAGCATCTTAAAGTACTGCTAATATTTGAAGGACTGGAGAAAAGAATATTTGTGCCCTTTTTTAAAGCACTACTGAAAGCATAACTAAGAGCGCTGCTCCTCTTACAGTACCTCCTCATCCATGTTCAGTTTTGCACCAATGGGAAGAGTGCTTAGAGCCTCACAGACTGCTTCCTCATCCCTGTACGCCGGCACCACGCTGAAGCGGAAATTAAGCTCGTCGATAGGCAAACTGTAACGCCGGGCATGATTCTGCAACACTCCTACAGGCCATCAAAGACACAAGAGCATTGAAACAAGTCACTGCGCTGTTTAGCAAAATCTACCAGTAAACACAAATTTAATTAATAGCTCTCTTTTAAACTTCATTCATTTATTTTTTACACTGTATACTTGAAAGAGTAGTCCGAGTGATTATTGTAATCCTCAAGCTCAGCTCTAAAACTGTGCTTTACTGTTGGCATTATTATAAAACATAGAGCATGTTTCAGTGTGTTACCAGTAAGAAAGCCTTGAGGGAAGAAGAACCCTGAGATCCAAAGTGATTTGGGCTGACCACGTGTGATCCAAGTCTTGCAAGAGAGGAAAAGAGAAGCAGAGATGCAATTAAAATATATGTATCTTTAAATAACGATATCTTTCTTTATGCAGTATCTTCTTCTTTTATTCAATATAGTGCATTACAGGCATCCTGTAAGTCAGGGGTGTCGAACTCCAGGCCTCGAGGGCCGGTGTCCTGCAGGTTTTAGATCTCACCCTGGGTCA